TGGGATCTGCTCCAGATTATGCAGGAGCGGGTTGACCAGCATACCTGCAATAGTAAAGATATAAAGTTGATAGACGGACTGAATGCTATATCAGTCATGCACGATAGGCTCGGTTACCTAACTGAGAGAGTGCTTAAAGGTTAAGTAAGAAACCTTATAAGTAAAGGATTCTGACTAACAATTATGTCAACAGTTTATCTCATGTAATGTTATGTAAACATTTATGATTATGTAAACAAATGATGTAACATTATGAGAAATCTATTTATTACTTTGGGTGCTAATTATTGCACGTGCAGATAATTATATAAGGTTTACTCTGTATGATAGAGATAGCCAAAGTATAAGAATGCCAGGTTGCAAAGATATCAACAGCGCATGAGGGTTAGGCCCGAGTGATGGAAATAACCCGATCTGCAATGTTGACAGGTTGCAAAGATAATTGATTTAGAAACAAGTAGAATAACTTGAAGTATAATCTTATAAAAATTTGCTAGTTTAAGTTTGCCAATTTATTGCACATTTTAGTAGTAGGAGAATACTACAATAAACATCTTATCTGTGCACCAAACTTAAAGATTACATTAAAAAAAGACAGCAAATGTTTTGGAAAGTTTCATAACTTTCAGGTTTATTAAACTTATCATGATTTAATTTCCATTGATTTAATTTATAAGAGTAAATAAAAGATCAAATCAAATCAAATCAAATCAAATATATATATTTGTCTCAAGTTAAAAATATAGAAAATATCATATTTAAAACATATTTATGAAACTTGAGACGGGGAGGCATTGACCGCCAATACCACAGTTTGAAAATAAAAGTTTAAATTTTATATTCTCATTTTGGATTTAGAAATCTCACTACCGCCAATACAACAGTTTTAAAATAAAAGTTTAAATTTTATATTCTCATTTTTGATTTTGAAATCTCACTACCGCCAATACCACAGTTTGAAAATAAAAGTTTAAATTTTATATTCTCATTTTGGATTTAGAAATCTCACTACCGCCAATACCACAGTTTAAAAATAAAAGCTGAAATTTTATATTCTCATTTTTGATTTCCAAATCTCACTTTTTATTTTTTTCATGAATCTCACTACCTTAGAACTTGACATGCACTATATACTTTTATTTTATAAAACTGGGGCATTTTATACCTACAGTTGATAGCCAGGGGCTGTTTAACACGCAGCCTCCCACTGGAGAGTCAGTTTTTGCAATGATGCTGACTTGAAGAGGTGATGCTGGATATCATGCTGCTCATGGGATGGAGGGAGCTGGAGCTACTGGAGAGGATACAGTTCGTAAACGTACAGGAATCCGTCAAGGAGAGGTCGTGTACCTTCTTTCTCGGGGTGGAACACATAAAATAAAAGAGTTAAAGGGAGGAACAAGAATTACAAAACAGTTTTTCACATTGAAAATCTTTAAGATTATCGAGAAGTTTGGCTTTTAAAGATTGTTCAAAAATGGATTTTTTTAAAGATTGTTCAAAAATAAAAGTCATTTAAATTTCTCATAGTATAAAGTAAAGGTTTCCATAAAGTGTAGCATTTATTACAAATAATAGAGAATGATTGAATGAAGTTTTATTAAGTTTGCGCTGGGATTTTTGTTTTGTTCGATCAGTTGGATTTTATAAAAAAATATTATAATTTACTTGTACATTACAGGAATTTTAGTTTTCTATTGATTACGTTTACATTATTGAAATTTTACTCTGTAAAAAAAACTTTCGTCTCCTGATTATTAAAATAATTATCCATTTTTGCAACATTGAATTTTTCATTATACTATAAGGGAAAACGTTTCAAAACGTTTTCATAAACAGTAATTCATTTTTCAGTTATACAATGTTACACTTTTTATAAGTTGAACTTTGAAATAGAAATCTTTTCGTTACGATATTCAATCAAATCACAATTCATTTTTCAAGCATTAGACTTTCAAGCTCCCCTTGGAAATAAAACATTTCTTTACGTTATTGTCACGTTGTAGATATTAGAAAATAACGTTACATTTCCACAAAACAATAATGTTGGGGGTATGTTCCTCTAACGTTAACGTTAGGTATGAGCTCCTATAACGTTAACGTTTAACGTTCACGTTATATAAAATATATCCAAACAAATACATAATTTGTTTGATAAAACTCTTGATCACTTTTTCCTAAAAAATAAAGAAGTCTAAATTGATTCTGAAGACTCCATATATGTATTGCAGTAAATTAATGAGATAACATTTATGATAATTAAAACAAATTTGAAAATGTAGATTTATATTTTTGATGACAAGGAAACTAAAAATTCTCCTCATACTATTCTAATCCTTATATCTTTACAACCTGCATACGTAGACTGTGAATTTTCCAAACTATGATGAATTCCTTATTAAGTATAGAAAAATTAAAGGTTTGAATCATCAGGTTACACAATTATAGTGACAAGGGAGTTTGTGGCGACTGGCGAGGGACCAGTGCTTTCAGAAGAAAATTGGAACTCTTGTAGACGTAGTTGAGCTGTTTATTTTCAAGCAGTTCTTTCATATCAAAATGTCCTAAACTCTTAATAAAAAAGACGACTTACAGAAAATCCTCGGAATGAAGATAAATCTCAGAAGATGAGACTTCAAACTTTAGATCGTAATATTTAAAGAATATTTATAAAGATGTGTTAAAGAAACTTATAGCAAACCTTAATTCCTATTTATAAGCAACATTTTTTTTCTCGCAAATTTTAATATTTTTGAGCAATTTTTAGAATGAGTAGTACTTTTTTGTGTCCCAAAAA